GCAAGAATTATTAATTAATAGCATTGCGAAAGAATGGCTGCCGCGGGCTTTTAACGAGCGCGTTAAGAGCGATCCGATAAAGATTTCGCTGGAAATTTTCACTGACGGCGTGCGCACTTTTCCAATTCCCGTACGCCCGAGTCCGAGACTGAAACACATCCCAATTACTTCGTTGCCAATGGATTTGATCGTCCGTGAGCGTCGACGGGGTGGGTCGGCGTACACTCGCGACAGTAATTTGCAATTTTTGTCGTCACGTCAATCGTCACGTTATCGTCACGTTATCGTGACGAGAAATCGTGTCGCTATCGTCTCATAATTTCTAGTCGCGAAGCGAATCGTGGCGAGTCATCTCCAATAATGATATTATTAACCAGAAAACCTTTTCGCGTATTTACAAATTAAATGACATACAGTCATATGACATGTATACCCGGTGTCCTAATGTTTAACGATTTTCACGACACGAAGGCAATTGAAGGAACGAGAGAGAAATAAGGATCGATACGTATAATGATGAATGTAGGACAGTAATTTATCCGGTATAAACCTTCTATTACGCCACGAGGTATTCGATATTGAAAAACATAAGAGGAGAGGAAAGCAAAGAAAAGAAACAAAATCAAAAAGAAAAAAAGGCAAAATAAGGCCTATGTGACGATACTATAATGAAAATGTAAACGGCTCGACAGTAATATCCGTGGGTGCTAAATCCACGCTTATTAGATCTTTCTTATCGCTCGTCGACTGATAAAGCTATCTATAATCGTAGACAGGCTAATTTGAGTGAGGGGGGATAAGCACTGACTAAGGCTAAGTAATAATGAAAAGCCCCGACCGCCATAGGAACCAACCCGTCCCATCCACTCGACGATACTTCCGTAAACAAGGATGCTCGAGACCCCGCCCCGGGTGCTGCATCGGGGCGCGTACCTGTATCCACGAGCCCGGGGTCCAGGGGTAAAAAGCCGGTAGCGAGTCCATCGGGAATCGTCCGATCGCCGCGAGATCGGCTTTCCCAGCAGAGTCGGGACAATGCGCCTACGTCATCCTTGACCTGGAAGCCCATCCTTCGGCAATCGCTATTATCGAGATCCCTCGTTTTTGTGGCTCCCGACGAAATTGATTCGCCGCGGGATTTTCTTCCTCGAACCACCCCCGCGTTTTCACACCACCACCCCTATACCGGTAGCACAGGGGCGCTTCACTCACACTCGCTCTCTCTCTCTCTCTCTCTCTCTCGCTCTCGCTCTCTCTCTCTCTCGCTCTCTCTCTTTCCACTCAAAGACTTATCGAGCTAGCCGATAAACTCCGAGAGCTCCCCTCCTGTTCCGCTACTTACTTCCGTTGCTCCTTACTTCTTTTCCATTTCTTCTCTCTCTCTCTCTCTCTCTCTCTCTCTCTCTCTATTTCTCCATTGCTGCAGGTGTATTAATTCTCTGATTCGCTGAATGTGCATAAAAAATACGTGCACCTCGAGGCATCATTATATATTTATATATATATATATATATATATATCACATTAGACGCACGGTCAATCAAAAAACTACGTGGCTTAACGGCAAACGGAGATGAATATCGGTCTCGGAAATGTAAAGTGTCAATGTCAATGTAGGAAATGGCATTGTTCGCTCGCTACACCAGGCGCATAATTATTAAAATGGGAATACGCATCTGTCTGGATTTCACGAATACTAAATGAACGAACTTTTTTTCTCAGCAGTGCTCGTTAGCATAGTCGGTAAATATTATTCCCCTCGTTGAGGACTTTAAAGAATTCGGTGACGGCCGATTAACTTAATGTAGCTTTAAAAATATCCTACGCCAAGGAAAATCACAATTTTGGTTGATTCGCATCGATCGTATAATCCAATAAATGTATAGTTTTAATCGCGATCGCTGAATGTTTATCGATAGCCAGTTATAATGTAAGAAGCTTCCGACCTACTCATTGGAGAAAGATGAATAAATGTTTGGAGGGAGGTAATGCGATAAAGCAATCGACAAGCCCAATTCGCCAAACACTTTCTTCTTAAATTGAGCTTGTTGACCCATTAGCGTTTCTTTCTTTTCTCACCTTCGGAATATAACGACAAGCTTTTATCAACTAATTCGCTGGAATGAAAGTGCGGCTTCTTTACTCCATAATCGATCGTACGCGACAACTTGGAGGAGGCTTGGAGGCCCGACGACACCTTTCGCACATCCGACGATAATCGCGCATCGTCGGATTCAGTCACTCTGGCCTCGTGGAGAGTCGTCCTTGGAAATTTGGCCTCCATCGCTCGACTATAAGCAAATTTCGATCGCGCGACGCCTTCGGGGCCATGGCATAATCGAAAATTTCGCACGCCGCTCGCTCGGTCGTTTTATCGTTCGCAACTGCGCGCACCGGATATCCCGGAAGCTCACTCTTCACATCTTGATTTATGCGACGTCGTATTCAAATTCGGCAAGTGGAAAAAAAAATGGTCCGCGAGAATGTCAGTTGCGAGAACCCAAATTGTACATCTGCATCGCAGAATTTTTTTTCCCCGTACGAGACACAGAGAGAGAGAGAGAGAGAGAGAGAGAGAGAGAGAGAGAGAGAGATAGAGAGAGAGCAGCGTATGTCGTGTTCGAACCCGTGCGTGTGCTCCCATACAAGGATCAGGCGGTCGCACTCGTGTGCGTGACAAACTCGTTAGCTAATCTTAAAACACCAGCTGCATGTAGATTGAAACTTGGTATGCACGTACGTGATGGAGGGGTAGGAGGAGACGAAGAAGATCGGCAGGAATGAGAAGGAAAGAAACGGGAGTGAAAAAGTTCGGGCTCAATTACAGACACTGTTGACAATGAAAGGAAAACTGTGTAAAACTGCAAGGCCACAATGATGCTAGCGACAATAATTCCTTACAACAATGAAAATTGAATTTTGTCTTGATAAAGTCTTT